AAGATTATTACATATATTACAGCAAAACTGACACCAACAAGTTTTCTCTTAACACTTTCTCAAGTATCATGCTAGTATCAAATCATTGTTAAAACCAGAAACATAATTATTTAACTGTATTACAAGAATCTCTTTGTAAATTGAGAATATTTCTCCATAACTTTCATGTCAATATATGTCTAGGAACCATGGATATTCATTTTGTAAATTGTATATGTACTAACTGTACCAACCAGGAGATTGAAGACGAGTTTCATGTTCATACAAAATAAGACGTTCCTAAAACGTTGAGATCAAAGTTTTATCTAATTTAGATATTACACAAGAAGACAATAAATTATTGATCAATTTGTTGAATTCCAACTTTAGCAATGTATTCAAAACAAGTATTTAGACGAATGTGAAGATATATTATGCTGTGTTCAAGATCACGTTGATTTTCATGTATCTGTTAAAACTGATGGGCCGTTTGACCTTATATACGGAATAAACTGTATGTGTGTATGTCTGTCTGTCTGTCTGGAATCGTAATGATGGTGGATTTGAGGTGAGATGAAAAGTGATTTTACGTCGCGTTAAAGATTATTCAACTTATATAGCAACAGGCATGCACACGTGCGTACGTGCCTGCCTGATTGCTTTCCCGCGTATGTACTTGTCCGGACTAATGCCGGCTTTATGGTGCTAGCAAAATGAGAGACCATACTCACTCCGACTTCCTTACTTCCTCCAAGCCGACCAGTCCTTGCCAAACGCCAGGCAGCATAACAACAAGTATAATCTTTGAACGTATATTAGTGTGTGGATCAACCACCGACTTTCCGCTCTCCAGGCAAGGCAGCTGATGATGGAACCACCGAAGCTTAATCACTGACACCTGTAAGTAATTGATTCTGGACAAGAAAAATCAGTGAGGGACGCTAGTGTGAACAAACATGGCTACAACGACGTCGTCAGACAATCAAAGAGGACACCGCGGTGCCGGACACCCCGAGACATAACTGAAATACTTCAATTAGGAGATAAACACCATGTATTTTCAGATTTGCGGGTTTTATTGAGTATTCGATACCAGGAAATGTCATTTTGAACTGACGACGTTCATAGATATTGTGAAACACAAAAGTTGTCAGTATTTTTCTGAATGCGATGTTTCATGATATAATGGATGGCGTCACTGCTTTCGTGATTACTGACCTCAAGATCTCGTGACCAGCAGAATGGGCAGAATCATGAACTTTTGACAAATATTCATCGATTAGTTCATGTGGTATTCATATCGCCGCAATATAAAAAAAAATCACAGTGGCTTAATGATAGGCTTAGACTAATACCTGACTCGCCTACGTCTTTTGAGAATGGGAGACTTGTAATAATATATTACACAAAGGGTTAGTTCAAAAATGTAATTATATTTAAATGACTGACTCTTTGTCAGTAACAGACAGAATTTTATTACTTCATTACCCCAGGCTTGTAATTGAATCTTCAATCAAGATGAGAAATAGTTATAGTTTAAAGAGATCCATGGCATTCTGCAAGGGGAAATTTGCTCTTGTAATTACTTCTAATCTAACATTATATTGCTGATGGGAAATCAATGACAAAATGTTGATTATAACCAAATGCCATATTACATATTAAGGCCCAGATGTTCATTTCACGCCATACTGTTGCAGTTGTTGTCTTGGAAACGTGTTTGTACTTTCATAGAAACATGACTAATTTTAAAATTCTTGTAAAATGTACGTGTTCTCCTTGTGTTTGGACCAAGGGCAGAATGTAATACGATCAAATGTGTATCAGGACCATCACACATTTCGTTTTGAAAGCAATTACATTTTATGTGGGAAAGATCAAAACTTCGCGGAGGCGTGGGTTGCCACGTTGTCTAAGGCGTCGCAACTCGCTGTGGTGCCGAGCCCCATCATCAGGCACTCCATAAAGCTGTGGTCGTGGGTTCGAAACCAAGATTCTCCCTGATCATGTTGCTTCTCTTGTCAGTAACATTGTTTAACGTCTTTTGGTGTGACGCGGCCAGGGATCTTACCCCGGACTTTCCGCTCTCCGTGCGGACGCTCAACCGCTAAACCACGGAGGCGGTCTTCTCCAACATGAAGCTGACAGGCCATGATGTAACTGGAATACTTGGCAAAGTGGCGTAAAACCAAACTCACTCACTCACACTTGATTTGTCAGCACCTTCCCCTGCTCGTGGGTTTTTTCCAAAGGGAAAACGTCTAAGATATGCATCACCTAATGTCGATCTGGATGTGTGTTAAATGATGTTGTTCCGAATGTCCTGCCGCTGGCTCCGCCACACGTTGTATAGACGTCATGCCAGCCGTGTCAGACTGCTGATTGCAGCATGAAGCACCATTCACCTTCTCATCGCGCAGTTACACCTTGTAGCTGGTATACGTCGTGTCGGTGTGGTTACCGTGTACTTGGCCTGAAAGAACGACCGCGTGAGCAGAAACCGATCAACACGTATGTGCACAAACAGGCATCCATTTTGCCATATAAAATAGGGAACCTTATATTTCTGTCAACATGCCCCTGGTGCAAGTAAGAACAAGCTCCTCATATCGAGCCCTGCAAAATGATGGAAGAGTAAGAGGTACATCTTCATTATCCGATCAAGTCATGATTGATTTACAGTAAATGTGGTGATATTTGTTTTAATAACAGATCAAGAACAAATCACCCTCTGTCCTCAACACATCATGTTTATGATGATTTCCATTGGGGTTCCATAAACACCCACTCGTCGTTGATTCATTCCTCATGTTGAACTAATCTGTTTTGTGTTGCGTGTCGCATCTCTCTTTCTCGTGTATCTGACATCAGCTATCAGTCAAAGTTGGACTACGAATGATGCACATAAATGAACTATTTTACAGATTCGTTTGTATATAAAGTACCATTTGGGAGTCGAATGACCAATGACGTAACTCCCTTTGATTCAACCGCTTTATTCGCCCCAATCACATTTCTGGATTTGTCAGCACTATATTAGTGCCCGTTGGTTTCGCCGAAGTGGTAAACGTCTGAGACCTGCATCACTTAGGGCTTTCCTCCCACATTAAGCTGACAGGCCGAGATTTAACTGGAATACTGTTCAACGCGGCTTTGAACCCAGTTTGATTTATATGGCAATGGCAAAACTATCCTTCAATTTTAATCCTTATCAAGGAAACACACGAAATAAGATGGCGGCTAACTGACATTAACCAACGATGCTTTTCGTCCCCCTGGACAATTTGATTCACATGATGTTGCCGAGACGTCATTCCTGGGCAGACGAATTATAGTCCGTAATTCCAAACTGACATAAACTTTTACTAATGTGTCTATGATACCCAATAGTCAAACTCTTTCCCTCTCTCTGTGTTGGGGTTCCAAATTAAAATAAGAGGTATCTACTCTACAGTGGGACTACATGAAATTTCAAAACACATTAGGTTAACGAGAGGCGTCCATAAGTTTTGCAACTTCAATATAGAACCTAGTCGCAGAATATCTTTTGCACTTTTATTTTTCAATATAATCTCCATTCACCTCAACGCACTTATTTCATTTGTCATTCAAACTTTTAATACCACATTTATAGAAATCCACAGATTGGCCCTCCAACCACGCCTCTGTGGCAGCCTTTATGTCCTCGTCATTCTGTAAGCGTCTTCCACATATGGCAGATTTCATTTGCCGGAACAGGAAATAGTCACTGGGGGCTAAGTCTGGGCTGTAGGGTGGGTGATTTAACTCTACAGCCCAGACTTAGTCCCCGGTGACTTTTGGAGATTATATTGAAAAATAAAAGTGCAAAAGATATTCTGCGACTTGGTCTTATACTGAAGTTGCAAAACTTATTGAACGCCCCTCATATCTCCTAAATGACACATTGTCAGGCATACACGTTAACGGAAGATGCTTTCTTTTGCCTTGCCATAATGATTTTAGGCGTGCAGGGTTAGCAGACCATTTTTCAAAAATTAAATTTCCCACAAATAAATTAACGATTGGTCGATATTTTTAGTTTAACAATCAGAGAGCTACTTTCCGATACGCCCCCATTCTGTGAGGATCTGATGTCGGCCATTTGTGCCCAGATGATTTCAAAGTGGCGAGTCGACCGCTATGGGTCGATATTATTTCACAGCAATAAAGATTGGGAGATATGCACAAACAGGGATCGATTTTGCCATATAAAATAGGGAACCTTATATTTCTGTCAACATGCCCCTGGTGCAAGTAAGAACAAGCTCCTCATATCGAGCCCTGCAAAATGATGGAAGAGTAAGAGGTACATCTTCATTATCCGATCAAGTCATGATTGATTTACAGTCATTGTGGTGATATTTGTTTTAATAACAGATCAAGAACAAATCACCCTCTGTCCCCAACACATCATGTTTATGATGATTTCCATTGGGGTTCCATAAACACCCACTCGTCGTTGATTCATTCCTCATGTTGAACTAATCTGTTTTGTGTTGCGTGTCGCATCTCTCTTTCTCGTGTATCTGACATTAGCTATCAGTCAAAGTTGGACTACGAAGGATGCACATAAATGAACTATTTTACAGATCAGTTATAGATATCAATTGAGATCGATAGAATAATCACCCATGACAAGGTATTTGTGCATGATTTGCGTAAAGTAATAACAGGATAGCACACATATGACACTCGTGACATTAACTGAAACAGAACAGAACAGAACAGAGCTTTATTTACACTTAAGCCGGAATATTACTGAGTGCGGCCTAAAACAACAAACCAACCAACTCAGGCCGGGATACTCGGCATATGAGGTACATTTTTACAATCAGTATATACATAAGATGGCGGGTGATTCACATGGAAGATTTTACAGTTTTCATAATGGCATTTTAGAATGTACAAAGTTTTAACACTTTTTTTTTTACAATTAAAGGTTCCTTAAATTTAAACATATTTAGGTTCTTAGCATATGAAATTTGGACATATTGTTTCGGGTTGGTGTTTAAAAAAAGGACAACGAAAAATATAATGGAATTTATCATCAACATTGCTCATGTCGCAGAGTTAAAACGTTCTTTCATTGACAGGGATTTTGTGCCAACTGACTAATTTAATAGGAAAATGATGGCACGAGGCTCTTCACAAGAGTAATGTTACAGCCAAAGAGAAAGAGATAAATAATAAATACTTTTCAAGGACGAGTTCAGTTTTAAATATGCGATATGTGATACCTTTAGGGGTATTTGTAATAACACTATTCCATGTTTGAGTTGCTATATCAGATAATCTTATCGAAATGATAGATTTAAGGACATTAGGAAGAACTGCTTGTTTGCTTAACAAATAAAAAATATAGCCGTTTCATTGAAAATACTTTCCAAATATTTTATCGATTTATGACAGCTATTGTTTGTACAGAATTCATTACACAACATTTGAAAACTTTTGTTCTTTGCCAGATAAGAGCTCAGCCCAAAAACATACCATTCGACATTTGAGTTAATTAAAGGTACTCTTCCAAGTTCTCCATACTACATATATAAAGGTGTACTTTTCTAAATGAGAAGTATGTACGTAAAAAATAACGTACACAGATTCCATTTGTTTACAGTTTTTAAAACCCCAGATTTCACAACCACATAATAAAATTAGCATCGAAGTGATATAATTGACATTTCATGGCTCGATTAAATGTTCTACTTTTACATAATACAAAGTACACGGCCTTGGTGTCAGATTCACAATTGATTTTTTAGAGGTTTTGAAAGAGTTTTTATTTGTAAAGTGAATGCCAAGATATGTATTATCGTTAACTTGTTCGATTGGTGAACCATTAAATAATATGTTTACTCGTGTCTCTTTTTGTACCACCAAAAACTATAAGCTAGTATTGATATGCAATCTCCATGTTTTGCAGTAAAGTGAAAGGATATCAAACATATTTGTTCATTTTGAAAGCTAATAAAACAGCATCATCTGCATGTGGTAATGCAACAGAACAACGGAGAGATCAAAGAGTCCATTAAGTGACCATTTTGAGAATATAAAAATGGTTCCAGATCATTTAAAAACAATGAAAACAAGATTGGAGACAAATTGTCTCCTTGACGGACACCAATACGACAAGGGAATTGTTCTGAATTTTCACCTTTGGTACACACACATGATTTATTGCCATCGTACATATTAACAATATTACGAATAAGTTTCCCATCAATACCTTGTGCTGATCATTTTTTCCATATGCCAAACATTGTCAAAAGCTTTTTGGAAATAAATAAAACCACAATCCATTATTATTATGTTTAATAATTCAATAATTATAACAGGGTAAAAAATATCATCATTTATGGAGGAATCATGTCTAACACCCGCTTGTGATTCTGACAGAATGTTATTACTGTCAACACAATCGTTTAATCTTGTATTAAGAACTGAGGTAACAATTTTCCGAGGCAACTTATACGACATATGGGCCGAAAGTTTCTAGGGTCATCTGTACCTCCTTCAACTTTGTAGATCGGACGAATAATTCCGTTGAACCATTGACTGGGAAACTTCCCAGCAGCAAATATAAGATTAAATAGTCACACATGTCAATATAAATCAACGTTGTCTTTGATAAAACTTTGACAGAAACTTTAAAGTGAAGTTTCTTTGTATTCTACAACCCTAAGGGTGACGTTGTGCAGACAGATATAGACGTCATCATTTGTGACGTCATCATTGGCATCCGATATACAGTTACACCTGTAGACTTGAAAACATATATAAAGAAATTATTAGGTAAGTGTGTTTCCGTATCGTAACTATATAGTAGTTATACAAATTGTATCATGCGAGCCTTTGTCGTAATGCAGATTTTGTTTATTCCTAATATTATACATTTATGACACGGAACCACACAAGAGTAATAGTTTATCAAAAACGTCTGAAAATAATCGATGTTTAATTAATTTTTCTTAATTCCGTCTGATTTCAGTTGGACAGGGACGGAAATGGTGGTCATATAAGGCAACGACTATCCGATATTCCACGGGCCTGGCCGGGATTTTGATATTTAATGTTTGTTCTTGAAAATACTGACAGAAGGAGGATAAAATGTAACTAATCGCTGGAGCTGCTGATTGTAATGAACTAAATGTGTTGTGTAATGACTAAACGTGTTCGGCTCCCGGTTTCAGAGAAAGCATTGTTTTGAAACAGAGACCGAACAAATAACCCATCTCTAATCTGCCCCCGCAGGATACAAGGACATATGAAATGACCGGTTCTGGATCGTGTATACATTGCATCTTGTCGATGTCCCTGGGTAGAGTCATGGCGGAACACTGCTGTGACCCTGACAATGTTCGCTGGGTCAGTCACCGACGTAGCTACACGGGGGTTGCACATACTCGCTGATGCGTCTCTTATGGGCTTCAGTATACTTCTTACACCCAGGCATGCATGGCAGCTGATTGTCAAACCCGTCCTTGTTGAGAAGCCAGTATGTGGTGATGAGACCTTTACCCTATAGAATAAAACCACGTCATGTATAAGCATTATTGTCAAATGTTGTTGTTTTTTAAAATCCTGAATTATGAAACACTTTCACATATACTCAATTGCTATTTGTCAAAAGTACGAATTTACCCAGAGGCATGACAAGCCATATTCCATTATATATTACTAACCGACGCCTTCTCGGTACGTAGTTCAAATGTGTTCGAAATACATTAATACCGTGCAACACCGGCAGCGTCGATAACCAATCAACTAAGAAAACGAGACTGATCGCCTCTGATGACCAGCATAGGTTGCTGGGGGCTTATTCTAACCTGGAGTCCCCTAGGGGACCATGAAAAGGAGACAGATGACTATACTTCTATGCATACGGAACCTTCTGCCCGCAAGGTTCGAGTTCTTCCTCCTAAATCGTGATAAGGTGGGGTGAGGTAAAAAGGGGTTTAACGCTACGTTCAAGATTGTTTCATTGTGTAATGAAGCCCCATGTGTGTGTGTGGCTGTTTGATATAATGTACTATTCCAGACTAATGCCGGTTTTAAATCTGGGATACCATGCCGCAGTTGAACACGGAAACCCTGCTCAGACACATTGCTGACTGCCAGCTGAGCAGTCCTTGTGTTATCCCTTTAATGCCGCGAGCGTGCAGGGTAACAACAAGTATCATCTCTCAACGTATATTTAGTTTGACGCAGCCAAGGGATCGAACAACACTTGCGCTCTCCGGGAAGACGCTCTATCCATGACAGCCATTAATTTTATGATGTTTTATGCCTACCTTGACCTCGATCTCGCCTCTCCTCTCAAACGAGTAGCCCCCGATTCCCTTGAGGCAGTAGTAAGTGTTGTTGCTCAGTTGAACTCGGTCAGCTGGAATGAGTGAGTGGGTTGTTTTTAACGCCAATGTGAACAGTACATCAGTTATATTGATATAAAACGAAAACGCCAGAAATCACCAGTCTCGATTTTCTGACGAAACAGCTCCCATTGGCGTGAAAAGCAAAATAGTGGTGAAAATGACATGAATGGATCACTGAATACCAGTGATGATACGAGCTGTTCAGGGCGTGACAGTTTTTTAATGTGGGAGCAAATCCCATATCGAGGTTAACAAATGTCGGACATTTGAGCCCGGTTACAGTTTTAGGGTGTCTTCATGGTCACTGTGGAGACATAAATCAGCCACAAACTGCAACGAATTCGTGCTTCGCAGCCATGCTTTATTGGATGTAGAAGCGCTGCCAAAAATACTTCTCTTGCCAGCTGGCACGTTTTCGCTCTGTTACATTATGATCTAGTATGACTGGATAGTATTCCCCGAAGTATTGGTTAGTGTTTGGATTATAAACAATGAGTTTTACATACAGCATGTTACGACGTAAATTATAATAAAAAGGTAAATTGTAATACTTGCGGCAAATTGTAATAATTTTGACGTAAATTGTAATAACAACGTAAATTGTAATACAATTTGACGTAAATTGTAATTCGCAAATTGTAATAAAAATAGACGTAAATTGTAATAATCTCAACTTGCGGTAAAATGTAATAACGTTTTACGTAAATTGTAATAACCTTATAAGTTTAGTGTCAAAGGCGTTAAATGACTTGAACCTATCCTTGTCAGGGTTGGTACAGGGTTTATCGTACAATCGTCATTAAAGTATGGGTGTGGGGGAGGATTGAGGTTGTTATCGTACATTGTTGTATGATTATATGTATATATAAACGCATTGGAATTTCATTTCTGTGGTTGTCCAGAAGTGGATTAACTACTAGAATGAACTTTTTTTATTTATTTGAGAAATACTCTTTGTGTTTTGTACTTAATTGTAATATATCCTATTGACGATTTTCATCATAATTGTTCATATTTAACTTAATGGAATCATAATTAAATTGGTAAAGTAGGTGGTAATATACACAATGGAATAATTATAACGTAACAAACTTACACAAATATATTGATGAGTAAATGTGGAAAGTGGAATTATGATTTTGTGCCGTTATCATGATGGATTCTGTTTTTGTTGTTAGGGCAAGGAGTTATTATCCCAGCAAAAGTTGTCAGTAAGTTGTTGTTAGTTCTTCATGACATATGAAAGGATCCAGACAGTTACATTTATTCATTTATTTCATGAAATATACTTATTCTTATGAAAGAAAATATTTTATGTTATATTAATGATCCATATGTTAATCACACATTGCTACAAATATGGTTTGCATTTATTTATTATAATTTCTTTATCTGTGAGAAGTTCACAGAGATCGAGAATACACAATATATAATAGTATATGCAATGTAGGTAAAGAATATCCACGCCCTTCTTTTGATCTTAATAACAACATTGTATATAATGTTATGTATTAAGTATTTTCCTTTGCCATGCATGGGAAATCTATGCTGCATTTGCTGACGACTGTTGTTTTGCCTTTGACATTGCACAGGAGATCTGTCACTCATTTGTTGTATTTGAATTCTTTGTCAAAATATAATGTATAAATACGATTGAATTGTCTCGTTTGTTTCAAGGAAACGGTCATGTGCTCCAAACTTCCATTGCAAATCGACATAATTTCAGGATCCGGTTGCACAGAGCTCCCTTCGGTAACTCGTAACTCAATGTTATTGCAATGGACTCCTAGCTAAGCTACTATTAGATGATAAATCAATTAACCTATTTGTCGAATAGACGTACCTAATGTAAGCCATCATTTTTAACCCGAGGATGGATCTTTCAGTCATAGATTTCGACGTGTACAGTTGCTAGAGTATCATTCTAACAATACAGACATGAAACAAGCTGCACGTAAAATAATTGATAAAGGTAGTCCTTGCGGGTTCACATACCTATATGTACATCGCCCAGGACATTGTCATTATTTGCTTTACATCCTCCGAGCAACGTGAAAAAAAATTAAATTTGAATAATAATAAATGGTTAATATATATATGAACATGTATAAATCAGCTTGCACACAAGACTACTGCAGAAAGACATGTCATCCATTTGCTAGTTTAGTTAAGTTTAAACATATTTTATTCACAGAACAATTTGAGACAAGTTCTTGCAACTTAGTAAACCCCTCCCCGCATAAAATATGTACAAATATACAGTTGCAAAATAAATAAATTTGCTTTAGTCAGTAAAAGTAAGACACATCTACTCATCAATATATTTGTGTAAGTTTGTTACGTTATAATTATTCCATTGTGTATATTACTACCTACTTTACCAATTTAAATATGATTCCATTAGGTTAAATATGAACAATTATGATGAAAATCGTCAATAGGATATATTACAATTAAGTACAAAACACAAAGAGTATTTCTCAAATAAATAAAAAAGTTCATTCTAGTAGTTAATCCTCTTCTGGACAACCACAGAAATGAAATTCCAATGCGTTTATATATACATATAATTATACAACAATGTACGATAACGACCTCAATCCTCCCCCACACCCATACTTTAATGACGATTGTACGATAAACCCTGTACCAACCCTGACAAGGATAGGTTCTAGTCATTTAACGCCTTTGACACTAAACTTATAAGGTTATTACAATTTACGTAAAAAGTTATTACATTTTACCGCAAGTTGAGATTATTACAATTTACGTCAATTTTTATTACAATTTGCGTATTACAATTTACGTCAAATTGTATTACAATTTACGTTGTTATTACAATTTACGTCAAAATTATTACAATTGCTGCAAGTATTACAATTTACCTTTTTATTACAATTTACGTCGTAACACAGCACATGTTTTGAGTATTCTGTAAATGTTTATATATTTGTTGGTGATAAATCAACCTATGCATGGATTTCTCAAAACTTGGCAAGTTCCACAGCGCTAGAATAGGACCACTGCCATGGGCATCGATGCCCGGATGTCATTAGCTACAAAAAGGAGTCTATCCTGGGTCATGCCGACAGCTAATATTTCATACCTGCCAAAGACTTCGAATCTAAACAAAGGCATCACAACGATTTGAGATCATGAAACATCTAGCCCTTGGACGCCCTAAACGTGGGGCAGGATAAGCTCACGCTTTTTGATAGTGATTCATAGGCACATGTTTATGACTTAGTCGGAATCGTACAATGAAAATGTCCAACGGAAATGTTTTTTGTCCCTTTTTATTTTCAGTTTCCTGATTTGAATGTTTCTGATGCCATGTTCAGGCTGTCTCACGTTGAAGTTCGAAATGCGTACTTACCTGGACATGCAGGGGTACTCTGTCAATAGTCATAGTATCATCAATAGTCTTAGGAATATATTTTGTCATGAAGACGGAGCAGACAATTTCTTAAACATATCGCTGAACTATTCATGATCGCTAACTATTTTTCGTCCAGTGTATATCAAAACATGCCAATGATTCATCTCGATATCGTAATGAGTATTCAAATATCTTCTCTGGGATGGGTTTTACCTTTTTAACAAATGAGTGGTATGTCAGTGCGGACGTAAGCAACGTCTTGTGTGGGTGCATGTTTGTCAGTGATAAAGAGATAGGAAAGTGAACACACATAGATCTTGTCACGTATGTCATTTGGATCCTTTGTTCTGCACCCAGTTGCGTGATGCAGTCGATGATTCAGTTCTGTCTGGCACTGAATTCATTTTATCTTTCAAAACCACTACTGTTCTAACTCGCCAGGAGTGCACAATCGTTCTGCAGTCACTAAACGTCAAACAGAAGGGGACGCATTTCTGATGAAGGGAATCCGAAGATTGGGTGACTTAAAGGCATCGTATTTCTGCAAGTAATGAGTAAAGGAACTTAAATTAAAAGGGGGACAAATACGGGCTGCAGGAGATGAGAAAGGGTTGAGTATAGGCTGCTTGACATGAGAAGGGGAGGTTAAATATTGTTATGGGGTCCGCAAGCGATACTCGTGGCAGTAAATGGGTGAGTGAATGTGTATGCGTAGATTTGTGAGAGCAGGTTGTGTGTGTGGGTTTCAATGAGTGCTTGAGTGTGGTTTATGCTAGTGAGAGCGTCTGTGCTAGTGCATGAGTGTGTGCAGGGATTAGTGAGTGCGATAACGTACCTAATGTTTCTAAAGTTTGTGGCCACAATTTATGTGCAGGTCTATATTCTAATGGAATCATAGCGAAATTGTGAGAATGTTTACTGTTGGTTCTCGGTGATGATTCCAGTGCAAAACAATGTCATTGAGTGACCATCAGGGTACATCGACTCCTTTCAAACACATTCCCGGTTTTAGACAGTCCAAACTCCAAATATATAGATCATAATTCCACAATGTATTGGATCCATACTTCGTGTACACCAATTGTTACAAGTTAGTCTCTTGTAACAAATGCTTATCGAGTTGACAAAACCGGGTCAGTTGGAGAGGCGTGTGATTTTGCTGATAATATCAACTGCTGGGTTCATGCCTTGACTCGATTATCCGGCCGCGATACAGTTGACAAAACAACCATTTCCAGTCTCAGTAAAATCCGATCATAGCGCTTGTTGTTGCCATCTGAAGTGGTAGCCAGCTCTAAGATCTGATCTGAATGAGATTGGACCATTTCTGAGTGCTCGGCTGTGAACAGCTCCATAATTGCTGATGCAGCAACACTCACTCACCCAATAGATGCTTGTGACACGTTTTCCCCTGCCCCCACAAGTTAACACTAATTATATGTACTAGTCTGTCACATCTGAGTTGTGATATATCCGTGACAATCTGTCTCTATCTGCAGCATTACCTACAAAATCATCACCCCCATCACAATCACTGACATTTACAAGGCTCCAGGTGACGGAAACGCGAGGAGCCGCGAGACTGTTGACTGTGAAGGCGGGGGTGAGGGAAAGTGTGAGAAGGCTATATCA